AATCAGCGGACGGCCTAACGCTTAGATGACAATTTCGGTTTCAAATATCCCGGCTTAGTGTTCGTGGTTCTTCGCGTAATTAGGTGTTCGTATGCAAGGGATTTTTCCACACAAAAACAACGAATTAGGTCGAATCGGTTGACTTAATATAACCCCAACGGACCGTATTTTTGTGAAAGATTGGTATTTTTGTCATGATTTGTAGGAATCTGAAAAACGCGTTTCACAACTTGTCTCTTATTTAGTTTTATGCGTCATTCAAGATGGCGGACCCCCATATCTTAAGTATCGTATTTATTTTATTATCACGTGTGCGCCAGCTGACTGTGATTGCAATGTCACATGCAGACAACTCCGAGACAATGTTTATCTCTCAAGCCAATCACTTATGAATATTTATATTTGAATGACAGCTAAAGATCAGTATTCACAAGTTTCTTTATAAATACATTTGCCAGGTACATTGTAATGATAATAAAAATAATATCATTATTTCATCCTTAGAAATAACATTTTCTATCGGTTAATAGCAATATGTATATAAAGTGAATGTAATAGTAAGAGAGAAAGTCAGTATTACAAATCAAGAGAATGCTCATTTCTTAAAATTAAAGAATTGTGAATAAAATCACCTAACAGCTTAATTGTATTTTTGTCACTACTTTTCATTAAATAAATGAATTTCTGCAGATTAGTGATAGTTTCCCTTGGGAATATAGTATTGGAGAGAGTTCTTTTTCAGTGTGTTTGGTATTTTGGACATACAAAAAGAAGTGTATTCCATCTTCTATGTCATACAAATCTTAATTTCTAATGGCGTTTTTGGTTATAATGGTCTAATAGTGTTGTGTAAGCATTGTCCCAGCTTTGTGCCCTTCACTGTAATAAAGTCATAAACTCGTAATCATGGTTTTTCAGAGTAAATATATATAAATACAACACTGCTTTGTTACATTTATATCATGCTGAAACATACCATGGCCAAGCACCATTGGAGATACGCTAATGTCCATAATAAACTGAATGCATGTGGTTTGTACTAACATATGCTGTTACAAGTCTGAATGGTTGCATTCTTTACTGATGGTATCAAGTAAGATTTTCACTAAGACCAATAGACCATTTTCCGTACACTGCGAGAATCACACGTTATGTGTGAAATCGAACGTAAAAACAGGACAAACAAAGGTCGTAG